TGACAGGATTCACTGGAGAGTGGGAAGCAGAACCGGTAGATCGACTGAAATACGTTGCTGAGGAGAGCAGCGGGTGAGACAGAAGTCTGCTTCGCCAAGTGGATCACCTCCCTGGCCGCCAGGGCTGCCACAGCTTCACAGTGCTGAGATTTTAACCCCTGCGCTACCAGAGGCCCCTGGAGTGGGTTTTACAAAGTTAACCTGAGTAGTTGTTTATATAAACAGAAATCTGTCAGAGCTTCTGCTCTCTAGTTCTCAAACTTCACGTGCCAAGCTCCCTCCTTCCTGACCTTGGCGCCAGCTAGCCGGCACTCGGCAAATCCACCCAGATTCCGGCGCTGCGCGAACCGGGACGCCCCGCGTCCTTAGCGTTTCGCGGGATGGCTCTGCCTTCCTGGCAAGGCGCATGCCGCTGTGCAGGGTTCGGGACCCTCCTGGCCAGCGCTCATTGTCTTATCCACGGACCGCGGGCCCGCCCCACCTGAGGAGGGCGTGGCAACCCAGATGGGGCTGGTCACCCCTTTTCAGCGATACCAACCTCGGCAGACTGCTCGGTCAATGTTGGCCTCGGGGCCATAGCACGCGGTGTAGACATCACAGGGAGTGGAAGGTTAACTGGGGGCAGACAAGTGGGTGCACTTGCGAAGCTGAACCCCGGGGAGCTGCAGCCGCCGCTGCAGGTATTTTGCTACATAGGTGGGATTCATCTCGCGCGCGCCCCCGCCCCCACGCGGCCTGCGGGTGAGATTCAGGCAGGCCACAGAAAGAGCCTGAAGCCACCCAGGTAGCGAGGCCAAGACCCCCCAAAGGAGCGATTCGCTACGACCCCGGAGCCAAAACCGCTTACTTGGTGGCCAGAAAACCCGGGCTGCCATCTTAGGCGGCGCCTGAGGGGCGGAATGGCGCATACTGGCGATAGGAGACGCAGTGTGTCTACCAAGCTCTTTCCTTGAGACATGTTGGTGGCTCTTAAAAGAGCCGTTGGGTTACAGGACTCCTCCAACTAGCTTACTTTCTCTTGGGCGCTGCCTTCTTGGGCTTGGCGGCCGTTTTCGGCTTGGTCACCTTCGCCTTGGCCGCCTTGGGCTTCACAGCCTTGGCCTTGGCGGGGCTCTTAGCCACCTTCTTGGCCTTCACAGCCTTGGGCTTCTTGGGGCTCTTGGAGGGCTTCTTGGCCACCGCAGGCTTCTTGGCCTTTTTGGGAGTCTTAACCCCCTTTTTCGCGGTAGCCGCCCCCGTGGCCTTTTTAGGCTTCTTAGGAGCGCCGCTCGCCTTGGTTTTCGAGGCCACCTTCGTGGCGCTCGGCTTGGCGTCTCCCGAGGCCGCCTTCTTGTTGAGCTTGAAGGAGCCCGAGGCGCCGGTGCCCTTGGTCTGCACCAGGGTGCCTTTGCCCACGAGGCTCTTCAGGCCCAGTTTGATGCGGCTGTTGTTTTTATCCACGTCGTAGCCCGCGGCAGCCAGCGCCTTCTTGAGCGCCGCCAGGGACACGCCGCTGCGCTCCTTAGAGGAGGACACGGCCTGCACGATCAGCTCAGACACAGAAGGTCCCGCCGACTTCTTCTTGGCGGCGGCGGCGGCGGCTACAGCCTTCACGGGTTTCTTCGCCTTCTTGCCAGCCACGGGCTTCTCAGGAAGCGTGGAGGCGGCAGGAGCCGGCGGAGCGGTCTCAGACATGGCGAGAGGAGAAAGTTAACTGCTAGACTCTAACTGGGAAAAAAGACACCAAGGGGCCCCAGCGCCGCTTATTTATAGGGCGGGGTCGCGCTGTGATTGGTGCGCTCCGGACCCGCCCCTCCCCCCGGACTGTAGCGCCCCCTAACGCCGG